TTCTTTTCATTTCCCCAACTTTGTTCTAAAATCCAGTTTTGAAGGCTGAGTTTAAGGAAGTCCTCTTGAATGGGTGAGAGAAACCCCATATGGGAATTCTTGGAGCTCAAGTGGGTTCAGAAGGGTGTCTCACAGGGAAGATACATATATTGTATGTAAAATAAAATATACATGTTGCATATACACACACAAATTTCCCTAGTACTGTCCACTGAGGAGGATAGGGGCAATGACATCCCAATTACAATGAGCACATCTTATGTATAAGTTGTGGCTTCTAAATACCAATCTCCACTAAAAGGCAGAGAAATGGCTGGATCCTGTGCTGGGGCAAGACAAGTACAAGAGAAGTTTGGAAAATTCTGTGTGCCCAGAAGTAAAAATGTGATTTAAAATGCTGGGAACATGTCAAAAGGACACAGGAGCCAATTTGAAGGGGCTCACACTAACCAAAGATTAGACAATTTGAGATTCAAAGTAAGTAACAGCTTATAATCCATTGAATAGAAAAATGAATCCATACTGATATTAATAAATTGACATTTTGATTAGGTGCAAGATATACATATAGCTTTAAAATACTTAAAAGGGAAAATACTTCTAACTTTATAGTTGAGAAAAGCCTGATAGGTACCTTGCTTAGCATTTTAAGTAAGGGCTTTAAAATGATCATCAGAAGCAGGGCAAATTGAAATTGTGCATTACCTGAGAGGATGCAATAAAAACACAAAATGATCCTGTAATGTTCTGTCAAAGAAGCACAACCAAAATCTAATACAGATAGAACAAATAAATAGAAATCGAGAACATTTTACAAATTAACTGCCTATAATCTACAAAATTGCCAATAGCTGCAAAACTCAAAGAAAGGCTGCATGAAAGAAATGATACCATAATCCAAGGCACACATGATTTCAGCTAGATCCTATAAAGCATTATTGGGACAGTTAGTAAAACAAGTGGAATTTGAGGATTAGATGGGAATAATATACCACTGTTAACTTCCTGATTTTGATGGTTGTATTGTGGTTATACAGAATACCTTCTTCTGAGAAATACAAAAGTATTTGAGGGTGATCATCATGATGGCAACTTACTCTCAAAATGTGGAAAATTTTATTTATACAGTATTTACAGCCTTTCTGTATACTTGAAATTGTTCCAAGTGTTTAAAAGGCAGAATGTAAAAAAAATCAATCAACAGATTCTTATTCTGAAAAGTTGTTAAAGGAATTCAATCTCTCTCTAAAAAGCATTTTAAATTATGATGAATTTTATCCAATTCCTATATCCACTGTGTATATATATATATGTTCTTCCAAACTATGAGTTATATCTTTAATTTCCCCAGAGATTTTAACACACACGAATTATAGATCTTAAACTTTCTCTCCACTCACTCCATTAGGTAGATAGTGACATGTTCATAGGTACCCTTCAGTAGAGAAAAGCTATGTTCTATTTTTTAAACCCAATAAAAATGTAGCTATTTCTACAATATAAAAATAACTTCTCCCCCTTGTGGCAAAAACTGGAAATACATTCTAGTGGAGAATCCCAAATAGGCAGGCACTTAAGTATGTATTTCTTGTATTTTCACATATTTCAAATGACTCCCTCATGTTATCCCCTAAAAGCACACAAAATCTGCAAAAAGATCTAGAGGTAGTTTCAAAGGTTTTTCATTAGATTAGCACTGTCTGGATTCTATCTGCATAGTATTCTCTATAGCAAAAACTTCAGATTTAATGCAACTGTCACAACAAAACACCAGAGCTCAAAGGAACCAAATTTACCAGAGTAAAAAGATCAAAATGATAGGCAGGTTAAAAAAACCTCCTTATTCAAAGGTACCTGCCGATTTAAGAGTACAAGAAGTCTTCCCACCTCTCAAATGTTAATTTAAAAAATTGGAAGTCCACCATTGGAGATAAATTTCTGGGAGCTATTTCCAATCAGTCTTCATGCTTAGTTTATTAGTAAAATACACTGGAAGGGATAAGACATTTTCCTTCATTTAAGATCACCAATGGTAAAAACAAAAGGAAGTCACACTCATCTAATGTATAAATGAAACTTAACTTATTCCAAATTCCTACCCCTATTGTTAAGCCCTCCACATTTCTATTACGCTACCAGTCACTGATAATTCTAGCTTTTACTGACCTTCTACTGATTATAAAGTAATGTAAGTGGTGTTTGAAAGTAAACTTAATTCCAGTTTCAGACTTTTAAATTAAAAGTGACTCAGTTGGATACTGTCTCTTAAACACACTAATATAAATATTAGTATCTTGGCTAAAATGAATTATCAACAATTTTAATACATGTTGCACAGTACATATTAATATAGAAAAATACATGTTATCAGCAGCATAATGTTGACTATGTTCTAATCCATTCCACCTGCTCAAATATTAGTGCAAATAATTATATATTTGTAATGCATCACTGGTGTCTAGCGCAAATCTATGCCTTCTGAATAAATGACTTTCCACTGAGGTTGTTTGCTGTTTGGAGTATAATGTGATATATTCATATTTAAATTGGCTTTGTATGGTGAGGCAGACTGCAACCTTTTAAACCACTTAGAAAATGAGCAAGTATGGTTAATTACTTGTCTCCCTTTCCCATTCCCCCAAAGTACATACTAATCCCGACAACTAAAGTTTACCAGTATCTCCAGAATAATAGTGATAAAGTATACAGGGCCTAGTTTAAAAGTGTAAATCTTGTTAAGCCCAGGGTTATCAGCTACCTGCTCTAAATCATCAATTAAAATTCTTACTGGCTAATGTACCAGGTTTCTCACCTTTATATATTTGAGAGGTTGTTTCCTCACTGAAAAAACTTTTTAAAGGGCTAATCAGTAATAGGAATACAAATTGAGTTAAGATAAGTTTTTGAGACTAAACATGCAACTACAGATTACATAAAAAGTGACTCCATTGCTAATACACTGAGTACATTTTGCCCTCCCAGCATTTCCATTCCAATACTAGTCATTTAAAGTACCAATACACTAAATAATTAACAGAATTAGCAAGCTTATGAAATTTAAAATTGTTTTTTTGAAGACAGAAATACTGATTTCCTCATATTTTCCAAGGAGGAATTGTCATTTACTTCCATGTTACAAAATGTGGTGCAAAGTATCTGGGATCTTTCTAAAAATGAAGCAGAAACATTATTACAATTATATAAAATAATACTCACTAAAAAGAAATTTTTGGTGGAAAGATTTCTATTCGGTTAAAAACATATTTAATTAAAATTTCATGACCACTTATAAAATTTTAAAAATCAAATTTAAAAGTATGACCACACATTGGACACATTAAAAAAATGCAATAGTAAATTAGATACTGACCCTGTATATCAACCTCATAATTTAAAACACTACGATCAAAACCAAATTGAATGAAAACAAATTAGATTAAGCAAAATCAATGAGCCTATCAAATTAAAGGACCTATTCAACATTATATAAGAATATGTATAAGAACAGAAGAATGAACAAATCTAGGTTTCAATATGAGCCTTTTACCTGCTGTAGACCTTGAGCAAGTCTATTTTTGTGCCTTAGGTTTTCATCTGTCAAATGCAGATAATAACTCAACTCCTATGGTTGCTTTGGAATCAAATGAGATAAATATGCAAAATGGCTTAGCAGAGCACAGGGGACTTCAATAAATGTGGCTATAATTATCTTTATTATGCCTCTAGAGAAAAAAAAACGCTGACTTTTTACTTCATGCAGAATCATTTAGCCTGAAAATAGGGACTGGTCTTTTCCTCCAAAATACAACGTATTTCAGGACATACTTTCTTAAGCAGAAAGACATAGAACAGACTGAATATAATTAAAATGAAGAGATGAAAGTACACAAGCCTTTATATGTCCAGTTCTCCATAAGAAAACAGAAGAATTCAGTATATTTCTAGAAAACATCTCACACTTCAGAGTGAATGGGGAATATACATGGGTAATACAAAGAATAGGTTTGCATTAGAAAAGTTAAACTTCCAGATGTGAGTTTTTTAAGTCACTAAAAAATTATGCACTGAATTTTGCATACCTTCACATATAATCCAAGGATGCATTAGACGCTACCTTACACAAAATGACCATCTTAAGGAGCCGTGGCATTTTAGGAAATAAAATCTCTTATCTGGATGCTTCTAAATATTCACCATCACAGATGACAAAAAAGCATTTTAAGGAAGCAATATTAAATTCTCCACTTGAGGAGAAAAAGGAACTCTCTGCACTGCTGGTGGGAGTGCAAACTGGTCCAAACACTATGGAAAGCTGTGTGGAGATTCCTTAACCTACTAAAGATAGAGCTTCCATATGATCCAGCAATTCCACTCCTAGGTATTTACCCAAAGGACACAGAAACATTAATTCCAAAGAGCACCTGCACCCCTATGTTTATAGCAGCACTATTTATAATAGCTAAGCTTTGGAAACAACCCAAATGCCCAAAAATAGATGACTGGATCAAGAAGATGTGGTACATAGACACCATGGAATATTACTCAGCATTCAAAAAAGATAAACACATGCAATTTGCAGCAACATGGATGGAGCTGGAAGGGATCATGCTCAGTGAAATAAGCCAGAAAGAAAAAGAAAAATACCGGATGGTCTCACTCATAGCAGGAATCTAGAAAACCTAAATAAGGGACCAGGAAAAAGAATAACTATAAGAAAGAAAAAATCAAAATCAACAAACAACTATGAACCAGAGACACACTATGGGGGGGTGGGGGTGGGGCAGGGAAAGGAAGGATTGGAGTCAAAATAAGGGGACTGCAATTGTATGGGGAATATAAAAATAAAATTTAAAAAAAATGTAAAAAAAAATAAAATAAATTCTTCACCTGAAATCAAACTGCTGGCTGATAATTATACTAATAATTTAATTAGTCAGAAGCTGATATTCAGATAGTGAAAGAGGGGAAAATGATCTAAAATATACCATAAATTAACTTACATTAGCAGCTCTTTTTTAAAACAGAGGAAGTCCCAGTGACTTCCAATAATGGTGATGCTCAAAATGAGGTTAATAATTGCCTTGGAAAAACAGTTAACTGTTTTTAACTGTTTTTAACAGTTTAAAGCTCCATCCAACTGAGCTGTCACTTAATGATTCTTCTTAAGTACTATTTATTTATTCTAGTTGACTGTCATTTTCAATATCATTAACTATAGAAGCTAGACTTTTCCTTCTTAAATCTGTGTTCTGTATTTCACTTTCTGTACCATTTATGTAAACACAATATATACAAGTTTTAAAGAAACAATTTGCAATGTTTTAGAGGATATTTCCAACTTCAAAATATGTTAGTTCATGTGGAATTGTGGTAAATCGTAAAGGTTCTCCTTAAGCAAATATTGGCTAAAGTTACTAATAAAAAGTTTCCATTATGACTACCTAAAATTTTACCATTAGCATATGAAATACATGTATTTATTGATAATCTTCGTTGAGTCATAAATTTTGGGCAAATTATTTTTGTGGTGAACATAAATAGGAAGATACTTTAAAAGTCAGAATACAAAGAATGCATTTTTTTTATACAAAACAATTTTTAGAGAAAGACAATCTGTTTAGGCTAATTTCTAACCTTGGTTATATAGTTAAGTACTATTTTCTGCTAGAAAAAAGAACCTGGAGTACATAGCCTATGAAAAATCAGGAATATCTAAAAAATGTAAGAAAAAATAATTTAAAAAACCAATATGAATGTTTTTAAAATGTAAAAATGGAGTGAAATAAAAAAAACAATTGCAGGGAATTTGTTTATTGAGTATTAATGTTAACACGTCTAAATTAAGTATTCACTTATGAGTTTTATCACTGCCCTATCAACGGACATAATAGAAAATATTGCACATAACTCAAGCATGGAAATAATAAACAAAATATTAAGGAACAATTATATGCTTTACATTTTAAAACTTAATCCAAACAAAATAATTTGATGCTTCTGCAATGTGGAAGTCTTAAAATGTTCTCTTCATTTTATTTGATATTTTTTCCTTTTTTTTTTTTTTTTTTTTTTTACAAATTGACACTGTGTACAAAGAGTTCAAATAGCCAGTAAAACTACTGCTTTAAAATTGTTGGCTTTAAGTAACAGAGGTATAATTTGAATTTACATTAGAGCTTTCTAAAATGGCAACAGTACAAGCATATGACTTTCTCTAGTATCCCAAACTTGTTCTGGTTCTCCCTTAGCTAGGGAACAGAAAACTAGACTGCTTTCTAAAGCTGCCACAATTTCAAAAAATGCTTGATAAAATTTGGCATACTTCATTTCTCTTGCTTACATTGATAACACTGGGCTAAACAGAAAAATGAAGGAAATTTAGTCAACAATAACTTAAACAGTAACTAGCTCTGGAGTTGGAAGTTTTGGTAAAGTTCATGAACATTCAGAAACATAATCTTAAAAGAAAAGCAGTTTTCCAAACTTAGACAAAAAGCCTACATTAAAGTGAAAAAAAAAATGCCAAGAATGAGTTGAACATTTAAGTTTATATGTTCTTATAAACAACACAATGGAAGCTGAAACACTACATATTAAGAATGCATTCTTGCTAAACAAGTTTATAGAGATTATAGAGTAACGGCCTTTCTAAATTTCCGGTTGATAGTTAAAATTTTATAAGTGATTTATTATGTCACCATAGTAAGCCAATTCAATTAACTACGTTCAGCAGGAATTACTGCAGAAATGTCTTGAAAAAGATGACAGAAACTATAGATTTGAAAAGCAACAAGTCTTTGCAAAGCTCATCCCCAGTCTTAGAATATACATGCTAAATATCAATTCCCAACTCCTCTTAAAATAGAAGACTACCTGCATGTTTAGTCATTCCATTTCATTCAAGTTTAGCATTAAGATAGAAATCTTAAAGAACTGCATTGTTGCTAAGCATTTTCAATATTTCATTTCTCATATGCATCATTTAGCTTATACCTCACTTTTCCACTTCCCTTATAATATTAAAATAATGAATAAATATGGTCCTTTAGTTAAGGCCCTCCACCTTATCTTAAATGAAATATAAAATAAGGTAGTTTCATTAATTTCTTACTAGCATTGGCTTAAAATCTGTTTACCAAATAAGAAATAGTAAACTTTAAGTTTTTCTTTTACTCAGAGAGCAGATCTATTCTGATCTACTCCTAATATCTACATAAAACATTTCATCACTTTAGTTTATAACATTTTTCTTGGAATAGTATTACTGTACCTCAGAAAAAAGTCTAATCAACCAACTATGGAAATTATGCTGAATGGTTAATCTTCTGAAAGAAGCAAATGTTCTCTAAGAAAATCTATAATAACTTGATTAACAATGAGTGCTGAAAAGGTCATTAAAAATGATAAATAATAAATACAATTTTGCTGTATTTTATCCATTATTAATGTAAAACAGGGTGGTGAAATTTCCCATTGGAGTATGCTAAAGAGTAAGGACTAAAACACTGGCAACATATTTGCCTTCCGACAACAACATTGTCCAGGATGAAAACTACAACATGTATTATCATAGAATATGAAATTTATACGTTCAAAAATGAAATTAATATTCAACTTAAGGGTGAAAAAATAATATGGCTAGTAGTATCCAAATTTCAAATAAAATCTCAAATTTAAGTATGGCTGCTGTGTTTCCAGTCATTTTTCCATAAAATGTTGGCTGTATCATAAGAAATCTCCTGTGCTTTCTATCAACCAAGGCCTGCTGACATACAACACATTTCTCTTGTAAATTCGACCTCAGCTGAAATGTCGAGCAAGGCGAGCAGATCTATAGTCAGCACGAAGTTGTACGAAGGAGTGAAGAATGTTCTTGTCCAGATTAGCAAGTTGTTCTCCTGAGCAGACTTGCTTTAAATTATCTGGGGCAACTACCAGAAGATTGCAAAGTGCATGCAGGGTATCAAAAAGCTGTAATACCAGTGGAATCTGAATTGAAATAAGAGAAGAAAAAATAAAATGAAGCAAAATAACTTCCAGTTTTATAATTAGTTCATAAATTCTCACTTAAATACTGTCAGTCAGGACTTACTCATGTGAAAAAGGAATTCAATGGAATAGAATTTTAAAAAGCATCTGAAATGTTAAAACTCAAATATCTTAAACATCATTCAAACTTGCTATAATCTTTCTGAAAAGATTCCTATTATGTGATAGTTTCTTCGTAGTAATGATTATTTATACGTTGTGGTCTAGAAGTAGTTCTCATTAATTTAGCCCTTAAATAATTTAAACCTAAAGAAAAACTGATTTCAGAGAGATATACATTAAGAAAACATGTTTTCCTGACATGTGACTTACGTTGCATTAGTTATGTAAGTCAACAAGTTTATCTGGACTAAGAACTGAAATATGGCCTATCCAAAATGAAGCACAAAGCAAATATGTATTAATATTAAAAATATGATCAGAATAATACTTGTTAGCTCTCTCTCCTTACAGTTACCAACAAAAGTTATAAACTTATCATTAATGGTATGTCAATACAGATTTTTAATGATATGACTTATGCTGTTGAATCTAATGACAAGTTTGACATTGTGTACGTACCTTGAAGTCTTTGGCACACTTCCTATATTCAGCTACATCACAAATTGCTAACATGCCACCCATACAGCTGTAGGAATATTGTTGAAGATGCTCATAAACAAGTCGGTGAAAACGCACTCCAAGTTCCATCAGAACTGTATCCACATTCTTTCCATCCATGGAATTTTTAATCTTCTCCACTTGTTTTCTTACATAAGCACAGACTTTAACACAGGCCTGTAAAATTTTTTCTATTCTTATTAAACAGAAATGTGTACCAGCTTATATGTACCAGCGAAAATGTTCACAAAAGTATTAAAGCAGATATTCTTGCCAAACATCAAGTCATTTTACTCACGTTAGTACACTGAATCAAAACATTGTTTTCATCTTCTGGCTTGAAGTCTGTTTTCTTTTGTTCTGCAGCCAAGATATGCTTCATCTGTCCAATCATACAATTTAATGTCCTAAAGAATGGAGAATACCATATATTTGATCCACTTATTTTAGATTTACTTTCATTTATCTCATTTGTACTAACTTAACTTTAAATTATTTAATTTCATATCACCACAAAACTATTCTGCTATTGGTAGACTTGAGAATTATTTAAAAAGTAAATTCCAGGTTTTAATATCGAAGAACTCTTGGTTTATTAGCTTCCTACTCAGAACACAGGCAATGATTTGTTTGCCTGATAGTTTAAGGAAATATTAATGATCTTGAAGCCCGTCACTAATATTTTTAACAACTATGGAACTAAAAGGCAAAACTATCTACAGAAATGCTTAGAAAGGGAAATACAAAGGACTTAAGAATGGCCACCATTTGGAAGAGCATAGGAGAGGAATAAGAGCTTCTAAGGAGAAGCGGGAAGCAGGACAAGTGGTACTCAATACTCAGCTGAGAAATAAAACATGGGTTTGTAATAGTGTCAATAAAGTTTTGGTTATGTGATGTGATATTCTTCAACAGCAATTAGCCACCCAGTTATGCGAAAAAAGAGACTGCACTGAATCGGATCTGGTACAGGACCTATAATGGCTGAAGGAAATAGTTATGAGGGAGAAATTCAAGAGATGAACAAAGCAATCTTAGTAGAAAGGTGAGTAAAGTTAGGAAAAGGATAAAAAATTGGTAAAAGATGAAATATTAAGGACTAGACTTATTGCTGGGGTCAGAAAATAGGTAAGTAGAACTGGGAGAATAGAAAATTGTACGGAGGTTTGAGATTTTTTTGTTAATAATGATAACAAAGGTCCTATGGGATAAAGGAGTAGGTAATGGAAGCAGAGATGATCAAGAAAAATAAATGGGTCACAAACACGACAGTGGAAATAATCTAAAACTCAAGGTTAAAAGTGTGAGCCCAAATCCTCAATAAATGCAAGGGACTGATATACATCATTGAGAGATAACAGCAATAAGGGAAGATGATGTGAATGAGCTTCCAAGGAAACAAATTCTAGACGAATAGTAGAAGGATACTTGTCTGAAACTATCAGAAAGGATGCACATGAATGTTTAGCTCACCTCCTGACCCCAACACATGCGTAAAGGAATAACAGCAATTCACATTCAAGAAATCACCACAGATAACTATGACTTCAGTAAAGTCAATTAGGGCAATTAAAGAAACTATATAGCTATACATATTAAGAAGATCACTAGGAAACAACACATTTCACATTCCTTTAAAGGCTTATTAATGTATCTAATCTCCTCCCTCCCAAAAATAAATTTCAGGTATTCTGAGGCAAAGCAGGAAGAAACAACTTTAGTCAATGAGGAATTCAAGAAAATACAAACTTCTTGGAAGTGCTGATTATAATATATATAATATATACATATGCATTACAAAGATATTAAGTACTATGCATGTATATTCTCACGTGGGTCTAACTAAAAGCAAAGGGAGAAACCAGTTTTTAGGACTCTTTTAAGAATCTAATTCTTTACTATAGTAAACTGAGTCTCATTTTCATATTTTCCAGCTTTATTCTTTGATTTTATTTTTCTTGCCTTTATTATCACATTTTAGTAGATCTTGATTTTAGTGAGAAGCTATGTGAAAGTGAGTTGCAAGAGATTTGTTACTAACAAATAAAATTTAAATTATTTTCATAATTAGACTGGATTCCTTGTTATCCTTATTATAGCACTGTAACTAATTTGCATTCAAATATGCTTTCTTGAACAGAAGAGAAAGGAGTAGAATTATAGTAAATAAAAAAAGACATACCCAAACCTAGTAGCATGGGCTTTAGAATTTGAGTCCCAGCTCTACCACCATTAACTGTGTGATCTTGAGCAAATTACTTAATTTCTTTAAGCCTCCGTTTCCTCATCTGTAAAATGGAAATAGTATTTCCTACCTAATACATGAAATAATACAAGTAAAGGTCCTTGCTGTGTGCCTTGCACATAGCAAATGCTTCATAAATGGTAGTTGTTATCATCATCAGTCAATATATACCTACCATCATCTCAAAAAAATAAAGGATAGAAACCTATAATATGAACAGGTAATTAACCACAATTAAGTTAATATGAAAACTTTTTGAATGTAGAGTTTGCATTCACTTAGTAGAAATTACTTTTAGAGAATTAGTGTATTTATTTAAAGCATTTCAGATTTAAGTATGAAAATTATAAATAAAAAAAAAGCTTCTATGTTACATACCATTTTTAAGGCATTTGTAGTCTACAAGTGTACAGGGGGGATTTACAAAAAATAGTTTAAAATGAATCTGGCTTAAAAGTAAATCTAGACAAAGTGACTTGAAGAACTAACTTAGAGAATTCTACTAAGAATGAAGGCAGTATGCAAAAATAAAACCAAATGCTATAGCAAAATGGTAGAATGAAGACAGACATTTTTCTTCTCTGAAAACCACTTTCATGTGGTATAACAGTGTTTTTACAATTTTAAAAAAGTGAAACTAGTAACTTGCCTATCAATGCCAGTATCCAATTTCATCTCCATTTGTTCAATTATTTCTTTTTTCTTCTGGAGGCATTCGGATAACTTAGGAGAAGAACTGTTGAATGTTTAAAGGGGAAAAAAAATCACTTTAGTAATCCTACAATTCTAAGTTTTTCATATGCATATGTGTAGTTATAGATACATATTTATATACACATACAAATATATTTATTTTGCTCACAAATCCAAGACATACATTAGTAATTAATTACTATTCACTATTCCCAATTTATTATAATAATCACACAAGGAAAAAATAATCAGTTAAAGGAGAAGGAAGAGGAAGATTTAGATTTGTTATTTTCACCTAAGAGGAGACACATCCTTGGAATTTTTAAATTATTTGGTTTCCTTTTCATTTAAATAGATGGCATAACAGTAAGAAAAGTCTCAAAGGATCCCCAGAGTTTTAAGAATACAATTAACAAAAATAGTAAAAATTTAAAGACTAATAGCCAATCCAGTTATATTTAGCTTTCCTATGTTAAAACAGATATATTTGACAATCATATTTCCTTTCTGAATGCTATCTAAATGTCAAAACACTCAAATTTAATAAGGAATATTTAACCCTAATAGACTAAAAGAGCTAAAATGCACATAAAAAAGAATTCTTCTGTATAGATGTTTCAAAAGTAATTCAGGAACTGTAAGTGACCTTCGATACTGTTTCTGGACTGATTTCTTGGCATATCAGTATTTATAATAAAGAGTCTACAATTTTATTTTTTATATGATTATTTTTCTTCTTTAACATTATAACTGTATAAAACAAGTTCACATATACACTGTTTTATTAAATCCTTACATACTCTTAAAAGTTCACATAAATTTGGCCTCCCTTGTGGTGCAAGGGGTTAAATCTCAGCACTATGAAGCTATCAGCAGCCACTGCAGCTCGGAGTTCAATCCCAGGCCAGGGAGCTGACCCACATTGCGCAGCAGACCTCTCCTGTCTTGCTCATGCTCAATGCTCCCTCAGCAGTATATTTAAGTACATCTGCCTGTTCTGCTCCCCACACTGTCTCTGGTGAATCCTCTAACCTCTCCACACCTCTGGCCTACAGCCCCAGTTCTTCTATGCATAAATAAATAAATCTTTAAAAAAAAAGTTCACATAAATTGATGAGGATATCAATTAAACCTTACTTTAACACCTTATCAAAATATGTCCCACTAATCTCAAAAAAGATTTTGCTGTGTATCTTTATGACAAGTGGGTACAAGTAGACAGTGCTTGTTAGATCTTTTGAAGGATGTCAAATTTGTTGAGTTTTGATAACCTACAGGTTTCCTTTCACATCAGATTTAGGTTTATGAAAATAATCTCTTCAAATTAAAATTATCATCATCAGAAGAGAAAAAAAGGCAAGAAAGAAAAGTTCTTTTACTTTTCATTTCATACCCTCCTGTCAGGTATTTTTATAAACATGTATTACTTTTGAAATTTAACTAAAAGATATATAAAATATTACAATATTCATTGCAATACCAATGACAATCAGATAATATGACAAACCTTATTAGTGGCATAAGGTGATCATTAAACTGCTTGTCAAAAAGATGAAAAATAGTATTGGCTTGTTGCACAACATCCAAAAAATAGAGATTTGCATTCCTAGAATCTGAAGAAGGAATTCCTAAAATTGGAAAGTATTCATATATTAGAAGTATATTTTAAGAAATTCATCTTGTCAGCAGAAAATGAATGTGGTTTTATATATGCAATATGAATAAAAATAACTGCTGTTTTAATGACTTTAATCAGCAATGACTTTTGTGGTTAGAAGAATAAAATTAACTTGTCGATAACTGAAATTCATCCAGTTATTTTTATTCTCAAATTTTCATCACTCTATCAGTCTTCATCTGCTGAAATAAACTTAAAAATTAATCAATAAATGAATCATTTTGAAATATTCCTTGTCCTTCCCTTCCTCATTCTCTCATCATCAATAACTCACAATAACTTCTCTCAATTTTCTTATAGTAAGTCCTAATTATCTCCTGTAACTGTTAAATAATGTCCTTATCAGCTTCCTGGGTCAAATGAATTTTACACAAAGTATAATAAAAAATATACATACCAGCAAGTCCTGTTTCCAAAGCATAATCAATATGCTCTATACATAAAAATTCCACAAGAATTGTAAAAATTCTAAAGGCATTCCTTGGTAAATCAGAAGGATCGGAGAGCTTTAAAAACAAAACAAAATATATCATTCCTCAAAGTCTACCTTAAAAAAGCCAGCATTTTTTAAGAAGTCAGTTTCATATATGAAGTAGTCAGTTTTTTAGGCATAACAATAATTTCCTCTCCACTCCTAAAACCTCTCTCACATATATGCACATACAGTGACACAATGCTCCCTATTTGTCTACAGCTCTCCTGGTTTATACCAGATCAAAGTTTTGCAAACTTGTACAACTGTCACTACTAACCTGTGACAGAGAGACTCACTAGAAAATAAGGCATAATGTACACAGTAAAAACAAGTATAGCTGCAAGAAATATAATCCACTCATACAAATACCACACACTCACAAACACACACAAACATGCGTACACTGGGCTTCAGCAACTCCTCAGCAGCCGCGATCTGCATGTTTCCATCCTACTTCAATACTTTGATACATTTTTTTTTGAGGCACACTAGTTTGATTCTAATTTTTTGTCATGACAAATAATCCTTCTATGGTGTTAGACACAACATATGCAAGTATGAGTTTCTCCTGGGAATTTCCAAATTACAAATCACTATACCAATTTTCACTTTCATTGGTAGCATATGAGAAATTATACTCATACACCTCCTTAGCAATACTTGGTTTGGTACCATCAGACCTCTTAACTTTGACACTCTAGTAAAAATGAGATAGTATTTTCCCTATCTTAAGTTTCATTACCCTATTAGCCTGAATACTTTACTAGTAATCTACATTTATTTATGTAAATTTTTTATGTGTAGCTTTTTATTTTTTGATTTATATTTACAATTTATATTGATTTACTATCAGCATATAGACATGTCAACATACGGATCACACACAATATAAATAACAAAGAGTGCCTTAAGCCTCAATTACACTATTTAAGAACTATGTGTTTTTTAGCTTCTTCATCTGTAAAATAGGAGTAAGGCAACCTCACAGGACTATTACGATTAAATAGAAAAATATAGTGGCGGCAATATAGTTTGTGCTATACAGTTATTAGTCACTAGTATTGGTTTTATACAATCTCCTACTAGTAATTCTGATTACAAATACCTTTCTCACTGGCTATGAGTTATCTATTACTTTGTAAAAGTGTGGCTATAAATTCTACATTTTAATGGCATCAACTTTTCATTCTTTCCCTTTGAAGTCTGTGTTTATAAGACATCCTCTCCCTGATGGTCTATATTTCTTTATGCTATAGGTCTAAACCTCCCTTTCACATCTTGATGAAAAATTTTCATAAGAAAAATTTGGTATACTCAAGTTTAAAATTATATTAAAATGTATTTCTATATAATCTTTAAATAATCCTGCTTCCAAACAAGAATTTCACCTTTTTTTATTACCAAAAAAAATAGCTGTTCCTCATTAAAGAGCAGATTTATATCTTAGTGAACACAGGTCAATAAATAAACAAATAAATAAATTTACAATCACTCTTACCCTATGACATCTTTCAAAGGCTTGTTTGGTTTCTTGTAAAAGATTAACCACCACTTCTTGAGATAGGAAAGTTTCCCCATGAGTATCAATACTTGGTCCCAGTGGCAAGTTGGTACGTTGTCTAATTCTCTCTTTCAAATCTTGAATACTAGTGCATCATATCAACAAATGAAAAAAGAACACTTTACATATATTTCAGTTTCAAGCATTCTCAAACTTAATACAGTATACATGAACAAAGAAAAACAGACCAATACTGACACTAAAATTTCAAATTCCAATAATTAGTTCTGTGAAGTGAAGCATTAATCTCTAAACAGAAAGCTTTCATTTGAAAAATAAGTATATTTAGAGTTATCTCTAAAATCTTTTTCAGTTCTATAATTCTGACTTAGACAAAACTCCTAGTCTGGTTTTCCTAGGAAGTAAGCTATTCTAAATATGTTAGTATTTCCAAAAGCTAAATGGTTGCTTAAAACTTTAAATTTTAATAGCCTTTAGATATATTTAACTGGGCCTCCCCTGGTGGCGCAGGCGGTTGAGCACCGCGCTATGAAGCTGTCCGCAGCCTCTGCAGCACCGGTTTGATCCCAGCCAGCCAGCGAGGGTCCCACATGGCACGGCAAACCTCTCCTGCCCGCTGTTCCTCTCAGCAGTGTATTTCGTAATTCTGCCTATTCTGTTCCCCGCTCTGTCTCTGGTGAATCCTCTCACCCCCCCACACATCTGGCCTGTACCCTGGTTCTTGTATAAATAAATTAAAATAAATCTAAAATAAATAAATAAATAAATATATTGAACTATTTATACATCTTGCATATTTCGTCATTATTAAACAAAATACATTAAACATAATTTAGTTTCCCTTAAAGACCAAGGGTCACTTTATTAAATGGTGGTATCTAATGAAGGTTAGGTATATTTTATTTTGCTTCTACAATATGTAGAATTACAGTGAAGTAATTTTTATTGTTTTTTAGTTTTTCTCTTCCTTTACTTACCATGGCATTTTAGGTCACTTCTTACTCTTAATTACAGCCTCTTCCTGATCATTTAAGATCTGACAACTGGGCAACTGATTTGATGTGTGTATGAGTGCATTCTGGACTCTGATCAGATGGCTCCACAGAAGTTATTCTACGTCTAGTCATCCTAGAACCAACCCTATGTTCCAGGTAGTTGAGACCTGGATAACTATAGTGCCACCAATTCTTAGAGTAAATTATTTTCTTCCAGTGTGTAAGTAAATGCAGGCTTCATGTTATTAATAATTTTATACCCAAGTCATTAAAAAGGTCAGGCTACCTAAACTGTTAATCATTTGCTAGGTTTTTTTAATACTTGCAACAATAGGAAAAAAACAATGTGCTTTCTACTACCTTATTAATAATGGGGAATAATTTATTCAGTTTGAAAAAAATTAAACTATGAAACTTTATAGCACTGGTCTGCTTTACATTTTAATCATGTTATGACCAATCATTTCAGCATATGGTTTGAGACACTAATCAATAATGTAAATAGAGTGGGTTAAAAAAATCTTCATAAAAAAATTTCAGTGACATTTGTCCAAATCTAATAAAGTTCCTTATCTTTAATTTTAACTATGATATTTAACAAAAACACTCACCCTCCTGTGCCAATGGACCTTTTCTGATGATTTTTTGAATCATAATAGCGTTGTAGGATCATTGCACTTCTGCTTTTCAAATATCCAATCTCCACCTCAATATAGTTCTCCAAATAGGAAATGAAAATGGATTTGATAAGCTTAGACAAGAAAGTCTGTTTATCAGTACCTAAGTTAAACTCCATCAACTTGCTGGAAAGATTGGTGGTTCTTTTCATGGAAAAGGGGGAAAAAAACATAAATAGCATATTTTAGGCATAGTAATAATACTAAGGACCATATATTATTTTCAATGTGATTTCAATAACTATGCTAACACCCATTCTTTGAACCTTGTGATAGCGAGAACAGCTATACAGAATTATATAAAATAGAATGGATAACATTATAGTTTTGAAGACTGCATGAACTCCTAAGAATGACTTAGGAGAGTGACCCAATGAACCAGTCTAGAAATGGCAACAGTGGCAGAATGGCTCCATGCATGTTCTAATGCCATTCATGACATGAGACCCAAGACAGAATACTAGCAGGCCTATTCTCTATTTTCTTTTATCTTTATTTATAAGAACTTTCCTCTAATTTTCTGTTTCCTACTACTGAAGAGAAGGTCACCAGTGCTACTGTTGAGATGGATTCCCTGATTATGGGGTACTTTTAAAAACCCTCCTCCTAAAATGATGACATTGAAAATGGCAATAGATTGGAAAAACACTCCATGTGCAGCTTCTGATATAAATTTCTAAGTGTAACACTACAATTTACAGAAAAGCACAAGACAAATTCTCCCAATGAACTTAAGGCTGAAACTGCCATTTGTTAAGAATCTGTTACTTTCTTTTTCAGTTTCTAAAGTTTTAACAGCAGATGAATAACAATATACTAATTCTTAGGGGAAAAAATATAAAGAATAGTAAACTAGCTCATGATGAAAATCAGAAACACAATTCATGAATCTAAGTTTACGACTCATTAAAGCACATTAATACAAAGCATAATATCCAATTCCTTAAGTGAACATACTAAGAATGATGCTTTTATAAGAATACTAATTTATCCAATATTCATTTTAACATTAACATGACAGTTCTTCAAAAATATCTGAATACTTCCTTGTTTTCAATTAAAAAACGTAAGAAAGCCTAAAATCTGTTATTATTTTCTAATAATTAAAAATATACCTTGTATATAGATCATAGAGATTTTTGAGATACTGCTCTGCATCGGACTTTCTACATTCTTCTAACTGGTCTTTCACAAAACTCTTAAAAAAAAAAAAGGCAAGTAAACATTACATTTTTCATTTAATTTATATTTCATTTTCAATATATTTTTCAAGTTTTTCCCCCTAAAATAACTCCAAAGTCTTGAACTGTTAACTTAAAATCCAATAAAAATGGCAATGCATAAATAGACGAAATATTCAAGAATAAAAAACACGTTTTAAAATTTTACTGCTTCTCATATTTTACAGATCTATATATCAGTCTGAGGAATAATATTAGTAATTTCAAAATTTCCTTTGAAATTGGTCTATCCTACCTCATGAAACACATTTGAAAAACAAAAGAACAAAAAAGGAAACCAACAGACTCAATTCCTTAAAGCAGTATTTCCTAAATTGTTATTGGGGTGACATTCCTATGCATTAAGACAATAATAGGAAACACTCTAAAACTGGGAAATGCTACACATAATACTCCTCATTTCTAGAGAATCACAATGTAGTACCTCTGAAGGCTATTAAGAGTCCTGACTTGTGTTTTAAAAACAAACACTTATTAAATGTTGCTTAATCCAGTGGGAAACACAGTTCAGAAAATGTGCCTTAAAGTATATAGTGGCATGGGAGTCAAAACTGTAAATTTCTATGTTTTTTCCTTTTCATGTTAGTATCATATTCTACAGATTGCATTTTTAATTCTTGTTTAGTTTCACAAATGCCATCAACTGGCCAACACAGGTAAAAATCTAAGGCTACCTACTAAAATCTGGTGTTATTACTATTAATGTATTGCTGCCTCTGCTACGACCACTACACAAGCTTTTAAAGAGTGTGATGACACTTCATGATTTGTTCCCTTTTTCTTGGTGAATAATGGAACATCTTGTTAAAAAAAGCATGATACAATCATTCTTTCCCTTTCACTGAATAAGGAGATCAATATTTTCAAGGGTACTACATATGTAAACTAAATTATAAAGAACTTTTAAAACACAGGGAAAAAGTCATATATTGTGACTGTGATGTGGCTAATTATTGAGAAATAACTAGTGGTTATTTAAAATTACCTGTAGTTTGATTTCAAATACATTTTGAATAAGTTTTGCCAGTACAGTTTCTGGATTACTAAAGATATCGCCAACTTGTTTGTTCACCCTTTGACAGAGTATTGCTGCATCTTCAAATATATCATTTCTCAAGTAAGCACCCTAAAAAAACAGAATTATTTTACACAGTGAATAATTTTAAAATAGCTTTTAAAATACAAATTAACATAAAACATAATAAAATATAATAAAGTGTACTGTTATGTTACCTCCTGGCACTGCTTTATATAAACATCAACACAATGGGAATAACCCTATGAAGAAGAAAGAAATACATTAACATGGATCTGATTCAATTATAACAACAACAATAATAATCTCAATAAAAGTATTATATGTAATAACACCATGGTTATGCCCAATAAGTGGCCTATACTAATAATTATTAGATTTAAAATTCAATGCAGAAAATGAAGGCTGCTAGAGCGGAAAAAGAATGGAGATGGAAACAAATCAGGGTAGGGGGGCGAATGGCCTAGGGTAAAGGATGGTGGTGGTGGTGTGATAACATGTATCTGAAGTGGTATGAAACTATTCCCCGAAATCATGTATAGTGTGTGTAAACCAGTGTTACCTCAATTAAAAAAAATAAGATTAAAAAAATTAATTGCAGAAAACCAAAAACCTAATATGGGTGTTCTCTCTCCCCCTTTCCTTCCTCCTCCCCCTCCCACCCTCCTAAAAGAAGATTTTATGCATATATTTGTTTCCTCTCTTGGATTCAAAGCATTTGCCTTCTCTTGCAGATCTGGACAGAGCTGTATTTAATTGATAGTCCGGAAATTTACTTCTAAAATTGAATCCATTTTAACAGTATGTTTAAAACAAAACCACTGGTCATATGAAGCGCATGATAATGAGATTTTTGTTTATTAATAAATCATACATAAATACATAAATCTTACACAAGTAATGTAAGCAAGCAATAAAAAGCACTGTCTCAAGAGCCATTCTCAGTACTCATTCACATGTTACCTACATGAAAAATCCACTAAATGGCTTTCATTTTTCTAACTTGATACAATATAAAGAAAAAGATTTAAGGAGGCACTATTTAAGCATCATCTTAGAAATACATTTCCAAACAGGGATTCTCTAATGTAAATTCCAGGAAGACTACATAATACAACATCCTTCATATTATACCTGAGATGCCCCGGACTTAATTAACCTAAGTCTTTTACTAGTCATTCCATCATTCTCTGGTTCCTATATTCTACTATGTACTTCAAGTCAAGTCTTTTTGCTTTTGAACTTTTCATAACACGTTTAATTGCCAAAAAAAGAAATTAGAAAGCAATATTTTCTTTATTAAACCATATCAAAACTCAATGATAAAATATCAATATCCTTAAATATAAAACTTATATAAATATTAAATATCTAAAATTTAACGTAAGAGAGATATGAAATGTATAAACCATTCCAAACAAGAAAAATAACCACTATAACATAGTCATATAACTAATAAGGGAAATCAAAAACATTAATATATAGAATTTATATAATTTCCAGAGTTTTGAAGCTAGTCTTCATTTTAAAATTTACTATTTACCTTAAAATGCAGTAAAACTGCTGCTACTTCTCTCATTCTGGAGATTTCCCCTCTTTTTTGAGCACTAGTAAATTCCTGAATTAGCTGGCATTCTAAATCATGGTATTTACCTAAGAATTAAAAGAAAGTTACTCAGCTATGTGGAGAAAGACAAGGTATCCAAGTTATTTACTAGCATATGGGTCCTTTACAAATATCAGGACTATGGTTCTGGCTACTTTTGAGAAAATTATAAACATAATATGAGATTACAGGCAGTGACTCTGGTCCTCATAATATATTGTGATTGGAAAGAAAAAATCATACAAGGAATTAAGTAGTAAAATCCTCATGAGACACAAGAACCTTCCAAACTCATAAAACAGCTGGGCTCTGGATAGGCTGGCCGCCATTTATCACTGTTACTTAAAAAAACAGCTGACTGGCAAAAATCATCTGGATATTACTTCTGACAGCAACAGAGGAAAATTCTTAAACCTGAAGCTATGGAAAGGGTGAGGAAGACTAAAGAACTCTTTACTGGAGTTCAGATGCTTTTAGGTAAAGTATAAACACTGATACACTCAATACCAAATTTTATCTTAAGATATATGTGATATTTAATTTGCTGCTTTCTTGAGGCTACTGTAATTCTAAATGAACACATGGCCTTTGGATTATTCTATAGAGACTGGAAGCATTACCAATAAGTGCAATTATTAATCTCTACATGATCCTTTTTCTAACACCACCTTTGGGAAAATAGGTGGTTTTTTGAACCTTTTATGCAATGGCTGCCCAACAGTGACCCAGGCTACCACAGCATCTCTATATCTAGTGGTTTTTCCACAAACCTAGAATGAGTTGCTTAAAATATAATTCTTTCCAAAGATTGGAAAGAATAAATCAGAAAAGGAGTAAAATAGGTAGTGTAATTCTCACATGAGCTTTGCTTTAAAAAGAAAAAAGAACCGCCTTTACAGAAATAGAGAAATATATATAGATGTAAATCTCCAAGATAGTCTTAAATTAAAAAACAGAGGATTATAACTATTTGTATAGTGTGCTACCAATTATTTTAAAATAAATGATAGCAGAACTATATTCTACACATGTACACACACACACACACACACACACACAACCTATGTCTTATGCATGTATATTCAAAGAATATTCTGGAAGAATACCCAAGAATCTGGTAATGGTTGTTTTAAGGAAGAGGAATCAAATTCAAGGATGGTGTAAAAGTATGACTCTGTTTTCATCATCCCTCCTTTTATTGTTTTTTTCGTCTTCTACATAGTTTTATTGCCTACTCAAAGCAATTAAGCAAACAGAATCCCACTTACTTGCAATTTTGGATTTTACTTCTGAAAATCTGAAAAAAAAGATCAATGATGAGGATCATTAGTTGTGAACAAAATTACCATCATAACCTAAGACATTAACAACAAAAGTGGAAACTAGTTTTCAGGGTATATGGGAACTCCCTGTATTAAAGGTTATCAGAAAACAAGAAAAAGAGGGTAGTGAGTACCGATAGGAAGGTTGCCAAGTGATAAAACTAAATTTTGGTGTTTCAGATGGGGCAGCTTATCCCTGTTTTAGGAATTCACATTAAATAAACAATTTCTTACTAAAGAGGGAGGAGAGTTCTGTATGATGCATTAACCCAGCCATTCCTCACAATGAGTTACTGTCCTTACTCATACTCATTGACATTTTAAAGTCACTTGAGAGTTGTCCATTTCACCTCTATGTTGGGACTTTTTCATACAAAGTTCCATTATTGTCATTTAAAAGAAAAAAATGATAAAACAAGTATACAGAAATGATTTATCTTAAAACTAGAAAAATAAAGTGGAAGCCATTAAGAAGGCTCCAACAATGTACAAAGCAACTGTTAAGTCTCTGCAAATTGAGAAGCTAAAAAAAATAAATAAACTACCACAAAACAGTACTTTTAAAAATCTTACATATCAAGGGGTAATGTACACCATGGAGATTTATTGAGAGACCCTGTACAATCAGTTTGAAGAAAGCAAAGAGTTACTGGCAAAAGGGATAGCAAAGAAAGATGAAGAAGGTGATGAAAATTATGTTATGCAAAATTGGTATATAAAGTGATGGTGGATCACAGAGGGTATGTAAGATCCTAACGATCTTTATGAAAACATTACATCTAATTAGGATGCAAATATTCAACTCCAAAGTGTGATAGGGAGGCTAACACAAAACTGTACGAGAAATTTGTACTTGAGAAGAAGATGAGTATTTGGTACATGTTTTGTAGAGAAAGAACAGGATGGACAGAGGGATGGAAGACGTAGACAATAAATATCATGCACCTACTGTGAGTCACACATTTTTACCCATTTAAGGAAATGGTCCAAATCTAACTGAAATAAAATTATTAAAGAGAGGATTTTTGGGTAACTTTAAAAAATCACTATTCATAAAGCAAGTGTGAGATTATAAGTAACAGCTGAATAATTACTTAAGTACTGCTTACCCTTTATGATGAGAGACGTAAGACAGATGACAGATGAGAGAGTAAAACAAAGAGATACATTTGGGGATGAAGTAATTTACTCTCACTCTATATTTGGAAGATAATGGTCAAGCTTTAAGTATAACAATACATTCATATTGTGCCTTTTCCTGTAGATCTTCAAGTATTACCAAAAGAATAACAGATAAATAGTGTGTTATATGGGAAGATAGCTTTCGCTCAGTTATCAACAGGAGAACCACTACTACTTAAGTTTATTAGAGTCTAACACTCCATGGATGAAAGGAAATCATGAAAAAATGTCCTTTGCAATGAAGTTTCTTTTAGGGTGAAACCATTAATATCTTCTACTAATGACCCTAGGCGCCTTTCCTCTAAAGCAGGAGTTCTTAAAGTGAATTCCCTATGGAAGCTGAGGAGTCTAAAACTCTATGAAACTGTATGTGACAACTTATAGGTATCTGAATTTTTTTTTTTTTAGAAAATGTATAGCTTTCATTAGCTTTTCAAAGGTGTCTAAGAGGCCAAAAGCTTGAAAATTCTCATCTAAAGGGAAGAAAAAGCAGCCAAACAGCACCATGTTTAATCTGCCCCTGTTCCCTCCCACTCAGGTTATCCAAGTTCAACAAATGAAGATCTAGTATCTCAGTCAATTTCAAAATTCTCCAACATTTTTTTTCAGAAGAAAAATATAAGATTAAAATTATTTCAAAGTATATCATTAAATTTAGATATTAAGAGATTACCTTTTTTTCAATTATTGTATATTGTACCCTGTACAAAGGAGATGACTCATATTCTTATTAATGAGCAAAATCATACAGGGAAAAATATAATTTCATTCTATAAATTATATCATTATGCAAATTAGTTCTTGAGAAATAAACTTGCCTATCAAAAGGTAACTCCTGGGCAATTAGGTGCAACTTCTGAATGATGTCTGCTGCCTCCTTTATCTATGGGAAAAAAAAAAAAGCAGTAATTGTTTTAAAGCCTGATACATATAAAAAATTTGTATTTCGAAATAGTAATATTCCCTTATGCACGCCCACAGCCCTTTACCTAAACAATTTCCTTTTAAAACCCACAACAAATCTTGTGAACAACAGGAACACATTTGCATACAGACAATAATACTCAATAAAACAAATATTTGGCTTTCTGTTACTGAAATCTTGTGATTTTATAACATCACAGTCCTTTTCCAATGAAACCTACAATCCAGTCTAAATCTGAATAAACTCAAATCATTGCTTACTGAAAGCAGAACTATCTTTTCTGTGTATGTGAAACCCCCCCCAAAATAAGATTTATGAAAATAATTCCGATCACACTGCCACATATATCCCACTTCAAGCTAAGTTAATAGAATAAGAATTCCTGTCAATTAATGAACATGTAAATTATAAAGCTTGTTCTAAAATCAAAGATAAAGTTAATATGAAGTCTCCTCAGTGACTATTTTATAGAAATGTGTTTATTTATTCAAGTTGTAGAACTAAAGGAGTCTAAAATTTTTAAAATGCAGATATTTGACTGTGCTTACATGAATGGATAGGGCATTATCTAATGTTCACTTTTTCTTTAAATTGCCAATTAGCACTGAGTTTTATTTTGGCACCCCTTTAGTAATTGATTTTGTGACTATCCATTTTTCTTTGACACTAAAAAATTTATAAATATGAAAGGCTCACTTTACAGACCTTTCCAATCTAATGTTAGATTTTCTAACATTAATATACATTTAGCACTTTAAATAACTATTTAAAAGAACTGTGGGTAACAACAAGCACAGCTAAATGATACTTATCTGGCTAAATACTAGTGAATATAAAATTCTGCTTCTCACTCAGTCAGCATGTCACTCTCGTTTTCAGTTACCACATTCTATCCTGGTGTACACAGGCACAAGTATCGCTACAGTATCACTTTTCATCATGCCATATAGTTGTACTAGCAATGTTCATCGCTTCCTCCTCATCAACATCCCCTTCCGAAAGGACCTCCTGCAAACAATCTATTCTATGTTTCCATCAGGAGTTTGCTTTTGTTCTTTTTTATTTTATTTTTTAATTAAATGTATTTATTTATTTTTTTACACATTCTTGATTCAATGGTTTAAGAAATGGAAGTTCCTACTATTTACAAACTGGACTTAATATTTTAAGAAAGATAGCAGTAAATAATGCTATTTTTTATTGAATTCTATAAAAGATATAGCCATTTTTTCAGAGATATGTAAAAAATTTAAATTCTATAAGCTCATATAGTTTCCTTTTTTTTTTTAAAGATGTGATTCACCAGGGCCTCCCCTGGTGGTGCAGCGGTTGAGCACTGGGCGCGAGGCTGCCCGCAGCCAGCCTCCGCAGCGCCGGTTCGATTCCCGGCCACAGCCGAGGGTCCCACATGGTGCGCAGACCTCTCCTGCCATGCCTGCTGCTCTTCTCAGCAGTGTACTTCGGTCCTTCTGCCTGTTCTGTTCCCCACTCTGGCTCTGGTGAATTCTCTCACCCTCCAGCGTTTCTGACTGAACCCAGTGCTTATATAAATAAATAAATAAATCTTAAAAAAAAAAAAATTTTTTTTGATTCACCAGAGACAGAGAGTGGGGAACAGAACAGGCAGATCCTCTGAAACACACTGCTGAGGGGAGCAGTGGGCGAGTCAGGAGAGGTCTGCTGCACCATGTGGGTAGCTCCCTGGCTGGGGATCGAACTCATGCTACAGTGGCTGCGGATAGCTTCATAGGTTGCGTCTTAACCCCTTGCGCCACCAGGGTAGGCCCCTATATAGTTTCTACTCATGAAAAATATGTTGCTTAATTCAAACTGAACTTCAATACTACTGCTTTTAATAGTCTACTAAGATATTCCATGGAATACATTTGGAAAAACCAGGAAGACTAAGTTCAATATATTAATGGACAATGTTACCATATGTACATAGTATCCATAAGAATGTTTGGTTCAAAGTATGCTTTAAAATTCTTTATTAAAAACCTTTATTCAAATAATAAAACTAGAAGTTCTCAATCCCCTACACAGAAAGGTATTTCAGCTTATTAATGATTTAGGTCAAACTACCATCTCCCCATGGAACAGAACTATTCAAAAATGATAGAAATTTTGTTAACATTAAAAGTCAATTATGGAAAAAGAAATACTTACGAACATAGTTAACTCAGCATTTCTAAACCACAGAAAATTTCATAAACAAAAATGCCAGGCAATACAGTTAAAATTTGAATAAAAATGATTCATTAACAACCTGTAGGCAAGAACACTAATTTTGAATATATACATTTCAGAATAAAAACTTTTCATAAGCCAGCTATTTAATGATTTGAAGTCTGATTGGCAAAGCATAATAGCAGGGCATTTTTATTAAGGATGTAATTTTCTCTTATCCATCTGAGAGAGCTCACCTTTTCAGAATTTGTGAAAACATCAGATTTCAATTCCCCATCTAGAAACTCATTAAAGTATTTCATCAATTTCTGAGCCTCTACTGCCCGTTGTCTGGGTGTGTTTACCCCCTCCAACTGGTCTCCAAGGTGACAGACCTTGGTAGCTACATAGCTGATGTGCTCATCTAGTTCTTGAAAATGCTGGAAGGCAACCTAGGAAAAAATGTGCAATAAGCATAAAATATAGTTTATAAGTTAATATGTATTAAGCATATAAGTTAATACGTACATAAGTCTCTAACCTAAGTAACTAAAGATAATAGAGTTATATATGAAATTATTTACCAAAACAGTTCACATCCTTTAATAAGGCATGATCTGAAAACTTAGCCAAGTTGCAGACTTTTTATTCAATTAACTATTAAAGTAATCTTATTTTATCACGAATACATTTACTAAGCAACAAAGCAGCAAGGCTACTTAACATTCACCCTAATTAACCAAATTCCCTGTACCATTTGGTTTTAAATGATTCTGAACAACAATGAACTAAGTATCAAAAGGACAAGTCATCTAAATTATCCCACTCGCTACTACACTAAAATGAATCAAAGTACATAGAAATAAGTCACTGGTAAAAAAAAAGTTTTTAACAAACATTTATTTTAAATATTGAAAGAGCAATGTCACCATGGTAAATAAAATGGTCCTTTCCCAGTACTGAAAACAGGAATAACTGCAATAATTATTCTATTGAAGCAAAGATACTTTACTTTCTAGAACATTCTTCCCCTCTTCCCAGGATATACAGATAGTCCCATGGTAGATGAAAATGATGTATAATAAATGCACTTTTGTTCTAACCTTAAAATGAAGGGAAAAAAGCTGCAAACATTTAATAAAGATTTCCTCTGTGCTATGCACTCTTCTATTACATGCATTTACATTTAATCCTTACAACAACCTATTTTACAGATTTAAAAAAGAGAAATAAAGGTTAAGTTACTTGAGATTATACAATTACCAAGTGGCAGAAAAGAGTTTATTAGTCTAAGTATTAATATCATTATTACAAGGAAAAAATGCATTAGAAGTATTTGTAAACTATCACTTTTATTTCTTAAAAACATTACTATGTTATGTAAATTAAATGTATGGATATTTTCTCACATCCATATATGCTCAAGTGAAGGAATCTAAAGAAATCTGAGCAGAAATCCACTTGCTAATGTCTAACATTGAAGAAAAAAATGGGCCCTCGGAGGCAACAGACCTAAACAACGCTCCTTAAAACTACCCTAGCATAGAGCACTTGAGTCCAGATAAGTGCAAACTGTAAGAGGGGTTGAGAGGTTCCAGACTAAATCTAGGGTCTAAGAATGGCTACGAAGCTTGATTTACCAAGGCCCAAAGTTTTGGTTTTACTCCAAAACAAACTGACGAAGAGTTCTGCACCTGCTTTTTCTCCAGTTCTCAATTCTCATTGGAGTACCTACATATTAAATTTTGGTGAAACTTACCAGACCAGGTTTCCTCTAGAGAAAAACCTGATCCAGTCAATAATTGGTCTGGTATTACTTTGTTTTATGATTAAATGAGAAGGCAAATAACTACCTAAATATCTAAGCTCATAAAAAGTCCCTAAAAACACAGGTCTGCTAAAGTGTCATTCTTAAAAGTTTGCATTACAGACGAAGGATGACACTATTCTGGGTACCACCTGATTCTAGGAAGGGACTACTATAAACTCAAACTAGTTATCAGTAGCAATCCAGTGCCAAGAGTGCCCAATAAGAATTCATAAACATTTTACCCCATGAAAAGGGAGCGGCAGAGTTACTATATTTTAATTAGACATTTTTAAGAACATAAAACAAGAAAGAAATAAAGACATCAGAACCTATATAAACTATTCATTGCTTACTTAAGTGTTTACCTGATTGCTTTTCTGAAGCTCTTGTACCTTCTTGGCAAATTCCTTGGCTTCTTTCTGACACTGTTGCTCTAATTTCTCTACTTTTCTTTGAATCCTTTCATCCATTATCTGTAGTTCCTGAATATGATTTACAAATTCTTCTAATAACCTAACAGGGGAAAACAGAGAAAAATGAGTCCATGTATGATTAATCATTAGGAAGTGGCCTGTTCATTTACAATGTAAACAAAATCTTAATGAGCATTCTTTGAAATAAAGATATTCATTTTCTCCATAGTGTCTTATTAGGAATTTCTTCAATAAAATCAATAAAATTTCTTCAATATAATCAGGTCTTTCTGTAACTTCATGACTTCTTCATAGCTTTTGTCCGGACCACATAACTTTAAAACAACAATTACATTTAAACACACAGTCTTTAACTATTGACTTTTCAGTGGGTTATCTCTGACATGAATGAAAACTCACCTGGAGTCTCTACTAATCCCCAGCACAGAAATCAATTTTATAGAAACATCAAAAAGGCAAACGTGGATTCCAGGGTACTGTATTTTCTGTTCCCCCAATTTTCACCTATACTTAAAGCAACTTTATTTTTTTTAAGATTTATTTATTTATACAAGAACTGGGGTACAGTCAGAGGCATGGGAGGGTGAGAGAATTCACCAGAGACAGAGCGGGGAGCAGAACAGGCAGAAGGACCAAAGTACACTGCTGAGGGGAGCAGCGGGCACGGCAGGAGAGTTCTGCTGCGCCATGTGGGTTTCTCCCTGGCTGGCCGGGAATCAAACCTGCACTGTAGAGGCTGTGGACAGCTTCACAGCGCTGCGCTCAACCCACTGCGCCACCAGGAAGGCCCTTAAAGCAACATATTAAACATGTTTTTATTTCAGAGGCATACCCACCCTTTCAATTTAGTACTAACTGGAGAAAATATTAAACTATAACTCAATTAAAGTCATTCCCTCATAACACTTAAAAGTATTTCTCTAAAATAAAAGGAACATAAATGGATATGGGGGTGGGGAGATCAATCCCAAACTTCCAATGTTTGTGTCTTTTATTGGCCAATTGTTAACTAACATCCCTCTACTGAAAGTTGAAAGGAACTCCAACAGTCACCTCTATTCACAAATTTGCACTAGAATTTGGTTCTATAGAAAAATAATTTTTTTTTAACTTTACCTTTTAGGATCAAAAGCTTCAGGTCCCCCTCTAGAGCCTCCTCCTGGGGTTCTCCACACAAGACGTTCGATATATTCATCTGCCACAAAAGGCTCCTAGTTTGCAAAGCAAATATTATTTTAAAATGTTTCACAGAAAATAACTTAAAAATTAACAAGGTTCTACTATATGAAAACATAAAATAGAATTAAATTACCTAATTATTTAAATATATCTGTATTATTTAAATGCACAATCTTTTTTCAACTTCAAAAATCTTTAATTACTTAATGAAAACTGGTATATTAAAATATTAGAACAGTATTATAACCAGCTGGAACATCCCAATGGAAAATGAGCAAAGAACACAGGCAAGTGATAGAATAAATACACATAGTTAAAAAATATGAAAACATGCAGCCTCACTGTTAGTCAAATAAGGTCAAATCAGCACCATTCTTTTTTGACCTCACAAGCTGACAAAGCTGTTTTTTTCTTTTGCGTTTTTTAATTATAATATGCAACACAGGAGGATCAGTTGAAATGCCCACTTGATATTTTTAGAAATGTTAACAGCTATATTTTGGGAAAATAATGGATAATTTGTTAACACCAAACAGGGTTACAAATGCTTATAATCTTCAACCCACTAATTCTACTTTTAACAATCTGCAGATAAGACTGCAAAAATTTTCTGAAAAATTTTCAGTGCATATGCATAATACTGAAAAATTGTTTACATAATCAACAAAACCATTATTGAAAAACTATGGAAACTCTAAAGGATGAAAAACTGCTCCTATTAAAATCATGTAAAATTTAATGTTAATTACTCACATATATCTCATGGAAAAATTAAAATCATGTTGTAAAAATTAATGAAAATTGCTCACATATGAGATCTCATGGAAAAATGCAGGATTCATAATTTTCTAAATTTTCTCAGAAAAAATTATAAAAAATAAAGAATATTGGAGCAGAGAGCCCAATCAAGAAAATAAATATTCAAGTGTTCACCATCAGTTGATAATGAATTTTTAAGACAAATACACACTAATTCACACTCCATACTACATCTTTTCATGCAAATGAATAGCACATACTGCCTCCCACTTAGCATATAATTTAAACTAGTAACATTTGCTGGTGATTGCAGTTTGCATTTATCTGTGAAATTTTCCATTTGTTCATCATATTGAAAAACATATTTTCACTAATAAACAATCACTGATCCAAACATTCTGTTAGACTTTGGAATTAAAAGATATATAAAATACTGACCACACCCTTGAGAAGCTCATAGGCAAATAAGGGAACTATAAAGGGGAAAGAATGCAAGAGCATCATAAATAAAATTTTTTTAAAGATTTATTTATGCATACAAGAACTGGGGTACAGGCCAGAGGTGTGGGGGGGTGAGAGAATTCACCAGAGACAGAGCGGAGAACAGAACAGGCAGATCGACTAAATTATACTACTGAGGGGAGCAGCAGGCAAGTCAGGAGAGGTCTGCTACACCATGTGGGTCACCTCCCTGGCCGGGGATCGAACTCGTGCTGCAGTGGCTGTGGATAACTTCATAGGTTGCATCTTAATCCCTTGCACCACCAGGTGAGGCCGGATAAATAAAATAAAATTTTTAATGTATGTATAAACTTCAATGTTAACACTGAGTGAGTTGTTAGTTCAAAAGAGTTCAGAGGTAGATATGGGTTATTCATCAATTCAGCAAAATGTCTGCCAAGCAGGTATTACATACTGCGTACTGTGGTAGGCACCAAGAATATGGATGCGAACTCAATAGATAAGGGCCCTGCAAGTTCTCACAGAAATGATCTTTCAGGTAAGAATGCCAACATTTAACAAATAACAACAGAAATAACATTATAATTGTGACAAAGGTGATAGAAAATTTCAGGATGTGCTAAGCAGATGTAACAGGAACAGAGATGATGGGAAAACAGTGAGCAATGGAATAAGATTGGCAAGAAGTGGGTGTAGCAACAGGAAAACTTTTTGAAGATATGACATTTAGGCTGGAACCAGAATAAAAAAATCAGACAGACAAAAATGGAACAAGCAGTTTTCCACACCATTAGAGAAAGGGAAGATAGAGCTTAACCCATTATGGAAATATGAAGAGCAAGCATGGACTGGGGATCAGAGATCACACATGAAAGGATCCAGAGAGAGGTGGTGATCAAGACAAAGATGATAACCTTGTCCTTTTTATCATCTTTATCACAATGTGACATGACAAAATGGTTCATCAGTCTGCTATAAGAGGAGGAATGAAGGGAGCTATCAGTCTCAATTAGAATAATCATCAGAATAAAAAGAGAAATAACAATAATAACAGCTCACATGACACTTCACATGCATTATCTTATTTACTACTTCAGTATTACCTATTAGGTTAACATATTTTTTTCTATTTTATCCCCACTTTATGAAGATGAGAAAACTGAGATTGAGAGAGCTTATTACTTGCTGGCACTTTATATACTTTATCAAATGTAAATACTTCCAACTCTATGAGGTAAGGTTCTATTAACATTGACTTACTTTTTACACCTGTGAAATTCTGTGATAGGTTATACAATCCAAGTGTACAATTTTGGTAAAATCAAGAGCTTTTCCTCTGGCTAAATTAATTGAGAAAGCAGTCAGCTCTTCCAAAAGCCCACAATACTGTCATTAAATAGCTTTACTTTTTTTTTTTAAGATTTATTTATTTATTTATACAAGCACTGGGTACAGTCAGAAGCGCGGGAGGATGAGAGAATTCACTGGAGCCAGAGTGGGAAGCAGAGCAGGCAGAAGGACCGAAGTACACTGCTGAGGGGAGCAGCAGGCGGCAGGAGAGGTCTGCGCACCATGTGGGACACTCGCCCGGTGGCCAGGGATCGAACCAGTGCTGCAGAGGCTGCGGACAGCTTCGCAACCCAGAGCTCAACCGCTGCGCCACCGGGGAGGCCCACATTAAATAACTTTAAAAAGTAATCATGCTCCTTTTTTCCTTTTACTTTTGGGCATATATATACTTTTCACATATATACTTCATGTGAAGACTTAATCATAGTTCTTATGTGTTATTTTTATTAGTTATTGAGTAGCTGCTCATTAACTTCAATGTACCGGTTTATTAAATGACATATATATAAAAACTTATAAGCCAACAAATAACTATTACTCACATAGTGAAAAAAAAATCAAGTTATTTTGCATGCGAATCATTTCCAATTCTCTCAAAATATTCCCTCATTCAACAAGTACTGAGAGCCTACTATATGACAGAGACTACTCTAAATGCCCAGGAAATAGCAATAAGCAGGCAGGAGAAAAATCTCAACTCCTTTGGATAACATGAAGGAGAGTGAGAAACAAATAAGCAGATATATAAGGCAATAAGAACTCTGAAGAAAATTTAAAAAGGATACAGGGAAATGGATAAGAATGTGATTTTTTGGTAGAAGTGATCAGGCAAGAAAATAAATTTTCAGCCAAGACCTGAATGCAGATATGGAAAAAGAAGCCACCTGGATAAGGACTGCTCAAAGTACAGAGAACAAACTTAGTATGCAGGTAGTGGCAAGAGGCCTGCATGACTAGAGTAGAGTGAGGGTTGGGGAGAATAGGTATGGATGAGGTCAAGGCAGGTAAGATAGTGAGAGTCTGGAACTGGTACTAAGGTTTTGTAGGATGTACTATTACATATTCTTTGGTATTAATTGAAGAAAAAGCCAGGTTGCAAGAAGTAAGGACTCTACAATATGCAGGCACATACATGCAGCAATGATCCTAGTATTCCTTCTCCTCCAAAATAACAGTGCAACTATTTACTTGAAAAACTCAACATTTTGGTAGAGGAAATACTCAAATTTTTTTTTTTTTAATAGAGGCATGTTTTTATTTATTTATTTGTTTGTTTGTTTGTTTATACATGCACTGGGTATAGTCAGAAGCACGGGAGGGAGAGAATTCACCAGAGCCAGAGCGGGGAGCAGAGCAGGCAGAAGGACCGAAGTACACTGCTGAGGGGAGCAGCGGGCGGCAGGAGAGGTCTGCGCGCCATGTGGGACCCTCCTCCGGTGGCTGGGGAGCAGCCGGGGATCGAACCGGCGCTGCAGAGGCCGCGGGCAGCTTCGCAACCCAGCACTCAACCGCTGCGCCACCGGGGAGGCCCTCAAATATTTTTCATTTTGTTCGATATAAGATTCTAGTTGACAATATTCGATTGACTTAAAGCATCACTGACTCAACAGAGTACATATGGAAGTCAAGTAAATAGTTTTCTAGCCAACGCTCACTATCAGTCAATGGGTTCATTAGCCAAATAGGCGCCATTTCCCCAGTCTGCAAAATTAATACAGGGATAGTTACAGAGCTCTCACATTGGATCCTGGGTCTATAAAATAAGAGCTATTATAGTGGGGAAGCCCAAGTAGAATCTCTGAAACTGCTTTCCCTCTACTGAACTTTATTAATCAAGTGTAATGACAAAAATTTGTGCCACTCTCAAAACCTCTGAAGTTAGGATCAGCAAATTTCTTAAAGGGCCTGATAAAAAATATTGGGGTTGTGAGGGAGGCCATACAGTCTCTGTCATAAACATTCAAATCTGTGATTGTAGTATGAATGTGATCGTACACAATACATAAACAAACAGGCATGGCTGTGTTATCAATAAAACTCTAGAAAATCTAACCCATAGGCTGTAAGCCTGTAGACCTCTGACCTGAAGGATGCAGGGGTAATGATATTCATCATTTTCTCACTTAATTCATCTGTCTGGGTTTTGCAGAAACCAGACAAAACCTGAAAGATGGCTACATCAAATTCAACCATGAAATAGCCTGAGTTACATCTCCCAGCTTCATGATATGTGGCCAATGTACAGGAAAGGACTCTACATCAGTAGAACCCATGCAATCAACCCTACTGTCTGGGCCATACAACCTAGCAGACCCTATAGTAATAAAATAATCAGCGTTTGGAAACAATGTCATGTAGTGTTATGACAAGCCCCAGTAGAATAATCACAACACAGATCCCTGGATTGTGAAGCAAGATCATGCAATCTGCTGCAGAGAATTATACTCCTTTTGAGAAACAA